TTTAATATGGTGTGAGTTTGAACTCTTACATTTAAAACAAAACCTTAAAATTACTGATTGGTTCAAAATGGTTTTATGGAAAAATTAATCTGTAACAAAAACTTGGCATTGAGTGCGAAGAAGGCTCCACTGTTTTTTGAGCAAAGCATACAAAGGTTCCAAGAGACAGGACCAAGAACTAAAGACTTGGACATTTACAACAGCAGACATTTTCTCTTCCTCTTCTTGACAGGAGGTGGGCAGAGAACTGCTCGGATAGCTTCATCAAACACTGTCTTGAGGCCTCGTTGGGTGAGAGCTGAGCACTCCAGGTATTTTACAGCACCTATAGAGAAACATGGGCACAAGGCAGTGTAACAGAGGACACGGCTCGCACATTAGTGAAAGGCGGCTCCCCTGGGGCTGTGCCTGGCATAGCATGGCAGGACCAGCTCCACCCCTCTCTGCATTCCCCCTCCCCCCACCGTAACCTCAAGGCCCAGATGGCCTTGTTTAGTGGCTTCCCCAAAAGTAAACCAGACCAGACCCTGAGAAGGAGAAACACTCCCTTTCCCAAACTGGACTCTGATCTGTCAAGAGAATTAAAAGCAGTCATGAGAAAGGATGGATTTCATACCAATCTCCTTAGCCATGGCCAAGCCCTGCGGATAGGTGATAGGAGTCAGCTTCTTCTCCTTCAGCTTCTCGATTGTGTCTTTATCATCCCTAAGATCAAGTTTTGTTCCCACAAGGATAATGGGAGTGTTGGGACAATGGTGTCGTACTTCGGGATACCACTGTATGTGAATAAAAAGCAAAGGCTGCACTACTCTCCTCCTTTCCAGATGGTGGTCTTCAAGATTACACACATCAAATGCCCAACTGCACCAGCACCCCACTCAGCCACCACGGCTCTAGACCCTTCATGTGCTTTACCCCTTTCCACATCACTAAACACACAAACTACCCAGAGGAGTCGCATCTTGTCACCATTGTCCCCAGTGAAAATATTTCTGATCATGGTAACAAAAGCAGATGTCAGAGTAGAAAGAAATGGTGTTAGAACAATTCTAAAGTGCTTTGTCATTTTATTGAAGAATTCCCATCTTCTGTTAATACCTAAAGCTTTAAGAAACTTACATTCTACAGCCATATGCTTTAACACTCATGATATTAAATTAATTAAATACATAGTATCTAAATAACGAAAATTCCTTAACAGTACATGAATGGTACTTTACTTTTAAATACTGTTCTTCTCGAAAAGGACATTTGTAACTTTTTATGTTCTTGCAGTCTTGGGACTCAAGTCCAGGGCCTCCACCACTAAGCCACACCCCCAGCCTTTTTAACCATTTTAAAAAATTGTCACTTACCTTTGCACGGACATTTTCAAATGATGCAGGACTCACAAGGGAAAAGCAAATTAAGAACACATCCTATAAGAAGGAAACACAGGTCAACATTTAGAAAACAGTATTAAAATTATGACTGCATTTTGCTTTCAAAATGCTGCTGGGCTAATCATGGGACAGACAAGGTGTGTGCCTACTGACTGGTCCCAGCAACTGAGGTTAAGACGCCTGCTTCCCATTCAGCCCTTCAATCTGTCAGCTCCAAAACCAGAACCAGCAAGTCAAGCAACCAGTGACTTGGAAGGAACGGGGAAGAAGTAAAGGAAGAAATATGCCAGCAGCTGTGTGAGGCTAAGCATGGGAGGCCTCTCCCACTACCCCCAACTTGGCAGGGCATCTAAGTATCTGTTATAAACAGACAAAAAATTATAAACAGACTACAACAGATATGGTTTCTGTTTCCCAAAAGCAGAGTCAATGTAAAAAAAATTCTTTACCAAAGGATGCTTTTAATTAAGCTCTCCATTGGCATGTGAAGTACCACTTTTAGATCATCACTACCTCCAATTAACCACCTGTCACAGTCTATGGCACAAGTGAGGGTTGAAGTATTTTCTGCCTGGGCCCTTCCCTCCTTCCCTTCCTCCCTCCCTCCCTGAGGAAGAGTGGTTCAGTATGGAAGTGACATCTTCCCTGCTGACAACCACCCTCACATGTCATGGCTTCTTAAACTCAACCTGGGCCTCTGGAGAACTGGCCTCCAGGACAGCTGTCACTAGAGATGGAAAGGAAAAGCATTTACAATACATACTTGGATACTGTTTCTAGATAAATATAAAATATTGTTTTTCTTCCCATCTGGTATTGTACATAAAGTAAAATTCAAATGTTTATCTTTATAAAAAATGCTCAAGTTTCTAAAATGTTAGGCTTATATTGCTAGAATTATGCTACTTTGTGAAATGTATACAATCCCCAAGCTAGCACTTTAAACCATCCGGCTGGTTATCTTGTACCTGAAAAGGAAAGAAACATCCCACAACAGCTTTTTATAAGTTTCATTGTGTAAATGCTGGCGCATGCACAAGCTTGCCCCAGAATCACCATGGCCTCTTAAGTTGATTGCAAACCATCTCAAAGCATGGTCAGGTTAGCTCACCAGCACTGCTCAGACCGCCCACCAAACAGGACACCACAGCAGAAAAAAAGGCCCTGGCGGCAAGGTTAGTCCTGCCCTGGCTCAGCACTCAGCCACCCTCCCGAGCGCCCAGGTGGGATGTCCCCCTGTATCTCCACCCAGCTGGAGAAGGCCCTTCCCTAAGCCCTCCTTCATCTGGGAGGAGGGATGTAAGCAGCTCACGCACTGCTTCAATCCAGCTCCAATGAAAGCTTATTTCATTAAGCAAACCCCTCCTTGAGTGAATTAAATATAAAACACTCAAGGAACTTGAGGCTCAGAGTTCCTAGGAAAACTAAGTGAAATGAGAGAACAGATAAGCTTAAGGCTGAAGTCGACTGAAAGTCTTACATACGGCAATCGGCTTGTCTTTGCCCCTGGAGGTTCTATCCTTACCATACGTGTCTCCAACCTAGTAATGCATGAGAACTTGGTTTGAGTTCAGGAAAAAGAAAAAAAAAAAAAAAAAAAAAAATCAATATAACCTTTTACTCTTTTATCAGAATTTTGTCTCAACCTTCCCAAGGGATTTAAAAGCATAAGTGACCTAACACATCTTTAATGCCAAATGTCACCCAGCCACCATGAAAATCCCTCCATGAGAAGAGGGAATGCCCCACATGCAGTGACAGTGGGGAAGTTGAGAAACACAGGGGGTGCAGCAAAGGCGTTCCTTCTACCTGCAGCAGCAGATGGCAGAATCTGTCACATTCCCATAAAGGTGGAAATGTGAAAAAGGTCCCTCAGCACACATGCCTTCTCTGTGCGGTCACTGGCGTCCATTAGCGGCAGATGCTCTGTGCAAGTTCTCAGAGCTAAGCCCCACTGAAGCCTCAGCAAAAGGAAAGAGACCTGCCTGTGAGCCAGACCAAGGGCTCTCCCAGGTCAGGTGTGAGAGCTGATAGCCTGACACTGTCTGAACATCAAGTCTCCTATGCAGAACCTGGGTTCCCATCCTCTCATTCTGAGAACGAAGTCTGGATTTACAGACCTGCATTACTGAAATGGTGTTGCTCAAACAAAGATCTTCAAATCTAGGTGCCTTTGCAGACGTGCTAAGGCTGCCCTTGTTGAAAAATGTTAGAAGTGGCATATCTAGTGGAGTTTGGGTATTTTTGTTTAAGACAAAGTCTCACCACTAAGTCAGGCTGTTTTTGAAATCACTAGGTAGTCCCAGCTGGCCTTGAGAGGCACTCCTCTTGCCTCAGCCTCCCAAGTGCTAAGATTACAGGTGTGTGCCACCACATGAAGTTTATTTATTATGTCTAGTATTTATTACAATGCTTTCATTTCTTTGTTTCAATAAACCTCAACAGATTCAACTCTTCCAACACAGAACCCTGGAACTCTTCTAAGAAAAGGGCACACAAAACAATTGTATTAATTTCATCTCAAACTTGATTTATAATTCAAACAATACTTTTGTAACCATTCCAGTTTAATCCGTAGACTATTTCTGAAGATCTGCCCTCGCCAAGGGCTTTACATGATAGCAAATCTTACTCTGACAGAGACATCAGAATCAGTCACAAAAACAAGAGTTCCAAAATATCTTCTAAATGCATTTCTTGTGCCCTTTTCAATTTTTAAGAACATGGTTTTTGATGGAAAAGAGACATGCAGAAGAACAGGAGCCAAGCAGTTCCACTTCCCACCCATGTGAACATCATGCCATCTGCCCGTTCCTCTCTTGTTCCTTCTTCTCCTCACCTAAATATAGCTTTTAGAAAACCTACCTCCTGCTTCTGGTACCTTCTACCACTAATTCCTTCCAACTGGGCTTTCCTGCTGTTGCAGCACAGGAAAGTTATGCCAGACGACCTTGGCTGAGTCGCTTTCTTTCCCTGTCCCTGTCATGCCCAGTGAGCAGCCTCAAGAGAACCTTTCTCTTTCAGTCTCTCTCTGTCCTTCCTCACAGGTGACTCATGTCACAGTGTCGCTGGTCACTGGTCCACTTTCCTGTGCACTTGAATGCTACTTAAATCACCAGATCACTTCTGACTATGCCACACGCCTTTTGTACCGCCTCTTAAAGAGAGTGCTGAGTCTTCAGTGACTTCATTACCTCCATCTCTCTCAGGAATCAAACTATTTGGGTTCTTCCACCATCAGAGGTACAGTCCCCCAAGATAGGGCAGCTCATGATGCAGTGGGAGACGGGGAGGATATCTGAATGGTGAAATCTCACTAAGCCAAAAGCAAGTATCACTTCTTTTATTTTCTTCCAATACTTTTTTAAAAATATATTTTATGGAAGGGTCTACAGGGTGTCCAAGGTTTCACTATTAGATCGGACACACCTGTTTACAGTCTCCCAAGAGCTTGGATTATAGGCGCACGCCACCATGCCCAGTCTCAACTGCCATCTCAGCACGCCCCAGGGCTGGGGCTTGGAGATCGAATCCCTGGCCCCTTTAAATCCACTGAGCTATTTGGCTGGCCCCTTCCAAATACTTTCTACTTGGACTTTATTTTTAATTTTTAATTTTTATTTTAAAGAAAAAAACAGATTTCAAAACAACTTGAGGGTAATAATTGTTACTACACTGCATGTTGTTATGTTTAGTTACTCAGAAGACAAGACATTGGCATGAACTTTGTTTTTAGGGTTGGAGTTTTTCTTTTTCAAAGGTGGTCTTGCTACCTAAGTTGGCACTGAACTTGCTTTGTAGCCCAGGCTGGCCATGCACTCTTGATGCGCCTGTCAAGCTCTGGGATTACAGGCATGCACATCACACCAGACTGGATTCTTCTGATTTAAATGCAGAAGTTTTTATGTACAGGAAAAAAGACCAGGATGTATACACATGGCTGAGAAATGGCAGTACTAAAAGAAGGCAGACATGTGTCATCAGTGAAGATTTTCTTAAAAAAAAAAAAAAAAAAAAAAAAAAAGCTCAGGGAAAAAGGAAAATCAGCCCCTGACAGCCTGCCCTACAGCTTCACTGTAGTCAAGGTATCCTGCTGAATCTAAGTTACCCAGAACACCAACCCAGAAGTGGACCTGCTGAGATTACACCAAAATAACTAAAACACAAAAGACCACTCATAATCTTATCTAAGGGCAACATGCCCTCAGTCACTGTGTAAACTAGGAAACCACCCCATCCTGATGAACTACTTTAACAATCACTTTATTCTCCACCTAAAGATTAAAATACACAATCATAAACTACTATGACTGACAGCATTCAGCCAGAGCAAATGCCTCCTTTTTTCAACATATTATCAAGTAATATTTTATTGCAGACTTGCTAATTGTCTTTAAAATTAGATTTTACGTAAGATTCATCTTAGAAAGTTAAATTGTCAAGTGCCTTTTAAAGAAAGGTTCTGTTCTTTTTTTTTTATCTGATCCTCTTTTTATTTTACTGGTACATTTTACATATATGTAATAATCACATTCATCATAAGGAATTTGTACCTGTACACGATATATCTTTTTTCTATTTCCCTCCCCTCAACCCCTCACCCCTTATTTACAAAAGCTTTGCTCCCATTTCTTCTTTTATTTTTAGTCTCTTCTTTCCTTTTCCCCTCCCAACTCCCTTGTTCTCCTCTGAACATTTTCTTCCCATTTCCCAGTTACCTGTTACATTTTTTGGTCCTTATTTACACAGTTTCTCACACTATATCTCATTTATTTCACTTAAGAGTATGGTCAAGGTGCATTTGCCCAGTAATGTCTCAAGCTTATTCCTTCTTTACAGCAGAGTAGTTCTCGTTCTCATTACTCTCTCTCTACACACACACAAAATCGTTAGCCATTCACTAGTTGATAGGCATTTGGGTTGTTTCCATGATCTAGCTTTTACAAATTGTGCCACTATAAACATGGGTGTGTGTATATACTGCTGTGGTGTACATGCCTTTTTGAAGCTTTGCCTCACCTCAATCATACAACACAGGTTCAGACTTTACCCCCACCCCACCCCTAGTTCCTGAGTATGACCCCTGGAGCAGTCAGTAAGAAACCCCACTCCATTTAACTAGATGTGTTCCTAATGAACTCTGGTTAGAGCACTTGGACACTTCTAACAGCCAACTTATCAAAAGCTGAGGCCTCTGAAAATTCAAACACCTGGCTGATGGATGAGAGGTCCAGTATCTCAGCAAAGAGGCCACAAGTCTGGGTCCAATACCCAAGGAACAGACCTTTGACAATGACACACCCTCCAGTCCCACTCACACCACTAAACCCTAGTGTGCGCAGAGAAACACTGATGACAGATTCTGAGTATGCCAATTGAAGAACTGATAGAACATAGTTAAGAGATAATGAAGCTAACTTACTGAAGGATCTGAAGGATCGATAAACTCTATGGCTTAATTTGGAAAAATAAAAAATGAAAGGAAATTTCAACTGAAAATGATGACTATCTTGTTCCACATCTTTTAGAGATCAAAGCAGAAACTAATAGTTTAGTTATTTCACTTAAGTTATACAGAACTACCCAACATAAAAAGATGCCAACATAAAATGACCACAAGCATAAATCTCAAGAGTCCTTAAAATATGAAATCCTCCACCTGCCCCTTCAGCAGTGAGGCTGAGCAGCCTTGGCTGAGCCACACACACAGGGCTGCAACCTCAAAAGCCAGTATCAGACACCATATCCCATTCAGTGCAACAGTTACACAAGAGACTCCCCAGGCCTGCTCTTTCCTCTCAGAAAGACAATGTGGTCCCCAGAAATGAGCCCTCCCCTGCAGCAGTATTTGAGCATCTGGGCCCTGCCCATGGTTACCAAGACTGTTTCTTCACCTTCAGGCAGTACAAGAAAGTATGTGTGCCTGTGAGCAGAGTGCTTTATGCTCCACCCATGCTGCTAGGCAGTGGATTATATAGTAACTGATTTTCTGAGCTACTTGAGAAAGAATCATGCCTTACTTCCTTTTACTGTTAAAGTATTTAATTGGGGAACTGCCACCTCATGCAAAGACGGGATATAAATAATGTAAGTCTCAAGGCCCATTAAAGACAACATCTACTTGATTTCAGGTCTTGTACACTACAGCTTTATTCAACCTGAAAACAGTCTACTTTCCTTATCTAGACTCCTCAGAACAGAATAGGACTTTATTAAGTCACCTTTGGGTGGGTTAGGAGCAACTCCCTTAGAAAAAAGGCCTCACCCTACTGTCTACGGGTACCTCCTGAGTCATAGGGGAGTGGCTCTCATTTCTTAGAAGTGATGCCACACCCTTCCAGATATATCCAGGTGGGTGGAGAGTCTTATTCTACCATTCATTTTGGCTTTTTTGAGACACTGTCTTGCTATGCATATAGCACAGGCTGGCCTTAAATACAGCAATCCTCCTATATCAGCCTCCCAAGTGCTGGGGTTATGGGAATGCACCACCATGCCCAGCAAGTCACTGTTCAAATGCACTTGGAAATGTGGACTTACTCAAATTCACAAAATGTACAAGATGCTTGAAGGGAAAAACCTGTATACAAAAGTTTAAAACTCATGGGCCTGCCAGCAAATGCCTGCAACCCTAGCTCATCAGGAGGCTGATGCCAGATTACAAATTCAAGCCCAGTGAGACCCCGATCAAAATTTTTAAAATGGCATCATAAAGCACTTGCCTACCAAGGCAATACTCTGGGTTCACTTCTCAATACTGCAATCACTTAACCTCTTTAAAAATCTGGCTAGGGGATATTTACTACTGAATTAATTTAACTTAGTATTATTAATTTACCCAAATCATGGCAATGTAAGTTATGTACACAGGTGGTATGTATTAACTAAACATTGAAGAATTATATACTCTCGAGGGGCACATTAAAAAATCAGTTGTGATTCTTACTGTTTGCGGATAGGAGAGGGGGCGTAATCTGTCATAATCTTCTTGTCCAGCTGTATCCCATAAGCCCAGATTCACTGGTTTTCCATCTACCATAACATTGGCAGAATAGTTGTCAAAGCTGCAGGATGGGATAAAAACTGTTAGTCACAGATAGGGTACCCAAGTCATAGCCCTAGCAGCACCACAGAAGTGTGTTGACAAGGCAAAGAAGAGACCTCAGGTTGTCATGAAAAAATAAAAAATGCCCCTGAAGCATGAGAAGCTGGGGGAGGGGGGGTGTTCCTGACACACAGGAAAAAATGCTTGTGAAACAACAACCTATCAAATTTAAGTATGAAAACTACACGAATTAAGAACAAAACAAGGGGCGGGGAGATAGCTCAGCAGCTTAGGCCCACTCCTAGCAAGCACAAGGTCCCAAGTTTGATCCCTGGTTCCACAAAACAACAACAACAAAAAACCAGGCAGAGCAGTCCGTATCATAATCCTAGTCAGTCAGGTGGCTGACATAGAAAACTTTTAATTTCAAATCAGAAATGAATTCTGAATGAACTAAAGATAAAAAAAACTTGAACTGCAAAATTTCTAACGAATACTATAGCATTTTCATGTCACTGAAGTAGGAATGGCCTTCCTAAGCGTGATGTAACACCTCTATGAAATGGGAGAGGTGGCATTATTTATATAAAATGTTAAACATCTAGACGGCAAAAAAAAAAAAACCATAATGAAGTTCAGAAATAAATGACTAGCAGAGGGAACTGATACTTTTTATTTATTTATAAGACTTCTATCAGTAAGAAAAAATTTCACTAAAAAAATAAGCAAAAGATTTCAACAGGCAATTCTTAAAATTGCAAACAGAATGAAAACATTTACATTTTAACTTCACGAATGATCAGATATGCAAATAATGAGGTAACTTTCTTTCAACCCACTTTGGTCACAGTACATAAGACAAGACCATTTCAATAACATCCAGCAAAGGGGGCCTGCCCCTTAGCTCAGTTCTTTAAGTGGCTGCTTCAACAAAGCAGTCAGGCACAGGTTGCTGTGGTTCGATCCCCACAACTCAAGCCAGCCAAACCTGCCCTGAAGGCATTCAGAGAAAAAAAAAAAAAAAAATCCAGCAAAGTAGACAGCAATTTGGGAAGACACTGAATACTCCTTATCAAAATGAATGAGACCAGAAACATTTAAAATTTTGAGGTTTTAGTCAGTCATGGTGCCACATGCCTGTAATCCTAACATTCAAGAGGCTGAGGCAGATGGATGGCTGAGTTCAAGGCCAGGTGCCTGAGCTACATAAGGAGTTCAAGGTCACCTGAACTACACTGTTTGTTCCTTTGTTTCTGAACTACATTGTGAGGCCCTATCTCAAAAAATGAAATGGCTGGTGAGATAGCTCAGTAGAATAAGCGCTTGCCTGACAAGTGCAGGGTCCTGAGTTCAATCACTGGTACCACCAATAAATAAAACAAAACTAAATAAAATAAAAACTAAACTTGGGGGGGTTAGATTCTGAAATATCTATATATGATATCTTGGGGATAGGTCCAAATCTAAATGAAATCTCATATACACCTTAGACACATTATCTGGGAAATCATTTCATAGAGCATTTTAAATAATTTTGTAAAGAAAATTTCAAGATACATAATTTTCTCCTGTGACATCATGGCAGTAATTCAGTAAGTTTTGAATCTGGGGCATTCTGGATTTCAAATTTTCCCATTGGAAATGCTTAATCTCTATCAACATTTAAAACACCATTCTCCTTTGAAGTGGCACAATTCTACTTCTAATAATTTGATAGATGTATACAAAGATATATGCAATGACAGTCAGCACAGTACTATCTGTAATGCTAAAAGAAGGGGGCGAGGTAGAGACCCAGGGGAAAAAAGACTCAGTAATTGTTAAGGAAGCTCTACCTACACAAAAAAAGAAAATAAATTCGTAAATTCAGAACAACCAGGACAAAGATTTCCAGTTGCATTTTTAAAATATGCACAACACTATATAGAGCACCCAAGTGGTGTGCTGTACTTGAGAGGGGAAGACTTGATATGGGACCTCTGCCCCAGTCCCTGCTTAAGCAGGAACCAAAAGACACAGACATGAGAGTGCTCACTGCAGCACAGCGTGGTGTACAATGAGCTTGGCTACTTGGGGTCCCTGGTAACCCATCATCAGAAAAGCACTTTGCCTTCTCCATCCAATTGTGCTGCCCATGGGGAATAAGCAGCCCTACAGCCAATTCCATCCTCTCCCATCCCCACCCTGGATTCAATTCTAAAGCCACAATGAAACCAGTGAGTGACTTGCCAGAAAAAGCTAATTAAAACCTAACAGAACATTTGTGTTCTAGTTTCCATCAAGCCAAATTTGAAATTCTTATACTGACAAGGACTGTCTCTGACCAAACTATGGTCAGGCTCCTTTTGTCCAGCTCTGGTTTTCTTCTTTTGGGGGGAGGGTGGGAGGTGGTGATGGTGTTTAAGTTAGACAGTCTCACTCTGTAATTCAGACTGGCCTTACACTCACTATGTAGTCCAGGCTGACCTTGAACTCACAGTAATCCTCCTGCTTCAGCCTCCCAAGTACTGGGATTATAGCCGCCATGCTCAGCATGATATTCTTTACCAACA